AGGTACTAGACAGTAGGACTGCTTTGGTACTAACAAGACTGAGAACTAGAGGTACTAGACAGTAGGACTGCTTTGGTACTAACAAGACTGAGAACTAGAGGTACTAGACAGCAGGACTGCTTTGGTACTAACAAGACTGAGAACCAGAAGTACTAGACAGCAGGACTGCTTTGGTACTAACAAGACTGAGAACTAGAGGTACTAGACAGTAGGACTGCTTTGGTACTAACAAGACTGAGAACTGGAGGTTCTAGACAGCAGGACTGTGTTGGTACTAACAAGACTGAGAATCAGAGGTACTAGACAGTAGGATTGTGTTGGTACTAACAAGACTGAGAACTAGAGGTACTAGACAGCAGGACAGCTTTTGTACTAACAAGACTGAGAACTAGAGGTACTAGACAGCAGGACTGCTTTGGTACTAACAAGACTGAGAATCAGAGGTACTAGACAGCAGGACTGCTTTGGTACTAACAAGACAGAGAACCAGAGGTACTAGACAGGAGGACTGCTTTGGTACTAACAAGACAGAGAACCAGAGTTACTAGACAGTAGGACTGCTTTGCTACAAATGACATAGTTCATATTTTATTTTTACATAAACTTAGCATGAGTCCAAACTTGTGAAAAGACTGTTACAAGATTAAAATAGTTTTGTTTTTATATGTAATAGTTTTGTATAATCTCGTTTTCAATAAATTATTTGTCAGTTTTTGTTTTTCAGTATGTATATTGTTTGTGTTTTTAGAAAATCGTCATACTGGAGAAACCAACATGAACGAAAGAAGCTCCCGCTCTCATACAATCTTCAGGATGGTGAGTGTCATATCAGATAGAAGTTAATGTATGTGATTGTTTTTAGTGTCTTAAAAGTTTGAAGATTGAATGCTAGTAACAAGTGATTTTTATATATTTTATATGTTAACGTACTTCCGAGATTTTATTGCATTGGCATTACTGAAATCGGGACTTCTTCCTTAATTTAAATTATGAATACTTTTGTAGTAGCATTATAAAAAAATAGATTCTATATCTTCATGAAATTGTGTTTAAAGCTTAAGGACAATAGTAAATTAAAATAACATAATTTTGCTATAATCATAAATTTCATATTTTAAAACTAAAATTATGAGTACTACTAATGAATCTTAGTTGACTGGACGGTAACTGCCTGTTGTAGAAACTCAAGTGTAGAGGACGACGTTTCAAAAGTCTTCCACCTTTCGTCTTCAGGTCCCAGATATAAGACTTTCAGAACATTGTTCTCTACACTTGTGTTTCTACAACAGGCAGTTGCCGTCCATTCAACTAATTTTCTTTATGAATACTCTGCCGAAATAATCTGTCAAAGAATATGGGTACTATTAATTTATTAAAAGAAATAATTTTTTGTAATGTAGTAATTGTTTTTATTCAAATGATCAGTGCCACAAATTGAATATTTCATTGCTACAAAGTTCAAATAATTCTTGTTTTTTTTTTGTTAGAGTTATACATGTTTAGTAGCTATTATTAATCGTTGATTTGTTTAATCATGTTAGTTAGTGTGAGACTGCTAGATATTTTTTAAGTCATACTACATGTGTACGTTATCTAGAAGTAACATTGTTCAATTAAGGAGCCAAAATTCCATGGTTTATTTAGACTGTTACCTTGAAGTTACGTGAATGCTTAACTACAGAATAGAAGCTTTTGAATGTGTATTAAGGAACAAAGATTTGTTACCAATATGTTACAATGTACAATAGGGGTTGATTTTTTTTAATGTTACATTTATAGACGTTTTGGTACAGGTTACTATTACTTATGTAAACTAATCCAAAGTTTATTTCTAATACTGAAATCTTAGATCATAGAAAGCAGAATGAGAGTTGACGAGGACGTTGATGAAGCAGTCAATGTTTCACAGTTGGTCAGTATTAAAGTGTTAATTAGCTAAAAGTAACCACTTGAAAAGATCAGAGTTTTTCTTGTTCTACTGTAAAGTGAAGCTTTTATTGTTTAATACTCTATAATACAGAGGGAATGACTAAACAGCCACCTATTTTTTTAACTGGATTTCCACAGGGTTGATCCAATGGAACACTGGACCAACTCCGTATTGGAGAAAGAATGTTTATCTACACAAAATATGGCAAACGTTTAGTAAAATGTTGTACACTAAAAATTAGATGTGTTACAAAAGTATTTATACTTCAAGTTGTCACGTGAACATTATCTTACGCTTCAAGTTGTCACATGAACATTATCTTACACTTCAAGTTGTCACATGAACATTATCTTACACTTCAAGTTGTCACATGAACATTATCTTACACTTCAAGTTGTCACATGAACATTATCTTACACTTCAAGTTGTCACATGAACATTATCTTACGTTTCAAGTTGTCACGTGAACATTATCTTACACTTCAAGTTGTCAAGTGAACATTATCTTACACGTCAAGTTGTCACGTGAACATTATCTTACACGTCAAGTTGTCACATGAACATTATCTTAAGCTTCAAGTTGTCACATGAACATTATCTTACACTTCAATTTGTCACATGAACATTATCTTACACTTCAATTTGTCACATGAACATTATCTTACGCTTCAAGTTGTCAAACTACCCTCAGCAATTCGGTAAGATAATGTTCATGTGACAACTTGAACGTAAGATAATGTTCATGTGACAACTTGACGTGTAAGATAATGTTCATGTGACAACTTGAAGCGTAAGATAATGTTCATGTGACAACTTGAAGCGTAAGATAATGTTCATG